AGTTGGCACTGCTGGCCACAAAGAGGCCAGCAGTCTCCATAAGGGACAGGTCAAACAGAAATGTAACATTGCCACGCCACGTGGCTCTGGATCAGCAGATTATAAAGCAAGTATATGTGCATGGTTTAATCTTTGGGACAAGCATATTTGAGACAAGCATGAATTTTTTTTTTCTAGCACAGATTTATACAAAGCAACAAAGGAAACTATTATAAATTCCTGCCTTGATGACTTTAAAAACAGTCAGCAATGGTAATTTTTGACTGTGTCTATGTAGACTGATGGTCTGTTCAATAACAAGCTGTAATAATGAAATAGTTTTTACCTACTGCTCTCTCACAGGAGTTCAGAGAGTCTGTGGAACCCTGATGTATGATGTTTGAACTGTAAAAATGCAATTTTTTTATTCTTTTTTAAAATTTGTATTAAATTGTTTGGAATGGACTGAATTATTTTAGTATATTTTCCTACATATTATACTGTGTCACAAGCATGTATTCGGCAGGCTATATTTTGTTAGCAGAAGCTCACAGAAACATGAGCTTTACATGCAATTAAAGCACAGACTCTCAGCTTTACACAGGTGTGTCATGTGCTGAGGTCAGAGCTTACATACAGAATACAGTGTAATTTGTAGATTTATGTAATTTTGCTGGAATGGACTTTAGGGTTAGGACTATGTAATACTAGCTATATTTTCCCTCCAGAAGGTCACAGAGGTGTGAGCTTTGCACCGAAATGACAGGCAGGATCTCCACTTTCCAGTCCTGTGACCTTCAGAGGAGAAACAGGAGCAGAAAAACTACAGTGTAATTTTGTAGATTTATGCAATTTTGCCGGAATGGAATATATAATACTGGCTATATTTTCCCTCCAGAAGGTCACAGAGACGTGAGCTTTGCACCGAAATGACGGGCAGGATCTCCACTTTCCAGTCCTGGGTCATTTGTGCACCTGTGACCTTCAGATGGTGAATTGGACCTAGAAAAGTCTAGTAGGTTCTTCACAATTCACAATGTTGAAATGTGGGTAAAATCAGCACATGTGGTGAAATTACCCACATTTCAACATTGTGAATTGTGAAGAACCTACTAGACT